AGACAGACAGACAGACAGACAGACAGACAGACAGACAGACAGACAGAATTCTTTATTGGCCAAGTGTGACTGGACACACAAGGAATTCGTCTTGGTGCATACACTCTCAGTGTACATAAAATAAAAGAAACATTCATCAAGAATCATAAAGTACAACACTTAATGAGAGTCATAGGGAACAAATAAGCAATCAGGAAACCATATCAATATAAATCCTAAGGATACAAGCAACAAAATTACGGTCATACAGTCCTAAGTGGGAGGAGATGGGTCGTGGGAACGATGAGAAGATTAATAGTAGTGCAGACTTAGTAAATAGTTTGACAGTGTTGAGGGAATTAGTTGTTTAGCGGAGTGATGGCATTTGGGGAAAAACTGTCCTTGTGTCTAGTTGTTCTGGTGTGCAGGGCTCTATAGCGTCGTTTTGAGGGTAGGAGTTGAGACAGTTTATGTCCAGGATGCGAGGGGGTCTGTAAATATTTTCACAGCCCTCTTTTTGACTCGTGCAGTATATGGGTCCTCCGTGGAAGGCAGGTTGGTAGCCATGGTTTTTTCTGCCATTCTAATTCTCCTCTGAAGCCTCTGTCTGTCTTGTTGGGTTGCAGAACCAAACCAGACAGTTATAGAAGTGCAGATGACAGACTCCATCATTCCTCTGTAGAATATTACAAACATTTGTTTAGTGACCGTTTGAAGTTACAACGGCACTGAAAAAAGTGACCGGTTTTCAAACTTATGACCGGGGTCATGTGATCAGAGTTCAGAGGCTTGGCAACTGACTCGTATTTATGACGGCTGCCGTATCCCGGAATCATATGATCCCCTTTTGCGACCTTCAGACAAGTCAACGGGGGATCCAGATTCACTTAACGGCCGTGTTCCTAGTTTAACTGCTGCAGTGATTCATTTAACAATGACGGCAAGAAAGGTCGTAAAATGGGGCAAAACTCACTTAACAACTGCCTTGCTTAGCAACAGGAATTTTGGGCTCAATTGTGAGGATTACCTGTCATCTCACGGTCTGAAAACGGCATCGAAAAAAGAGGGAACTGGGCCCTTCTGGATATTGAACTTTACACTCAGTGCCACTTTGTGTATTTACTCAACACAACCGCAGAACTGCCAAAAGGTTTACAATCCGCAATAGAAAGAGCGAAGGGAGAAGATAAAACCCGCACTTTAAAAAGGAGGGATTTAGGTCCATCCCACGGCTGGAGAGAAGCAGCAGCACCCTCTTCCCAAGGTCACCTCTGCATCACCACCACGTGTCTCCCTGTAGAATTCATCACCATCATCATCATCATCATTTAACGACCCCCTTGCGGGGTGGAGTCTGGGCAACTGAACGGAGCTAGCAGAGTGTTTTAATGGCCGGATGCCCTTCCTGTCGCCAATGTGGAATTTTGTTTAGCAGATCTATTCTCATGGTGCCCAGAGAGAGAAATATCTGCCTCTACTTAAGATCGAACTCACAGCCTCTTGATGGTGAGGCGAGAGCTCCGCCTCTAGGCCACCGCACCACTCTGTATCTCATAAAGTTATTGAAAGAGAAGTGTGAGGGGAAGGACAGAGGGAAAAGAACAGTCGAGGGAGGAGAACTACAAGAGGGATGAGGAGGTCATGGTTAGAGACCAAAGAGATGTCCAGGAGGACCCAGTCTCCAAGACAGAGTGACTCAGGACCACAAAAGAGACCAAAATATCCACTGCTGAGCAAGACACTTGTTAAGTGAGATCCCCTCTTGCATCTCATTCCTGAGAAACACCCCCCCCCCCGAAGGTACCTTAGGATGCAGCCTCCCCCATCAGATGCCCTCTGGATCTCCAGGCCGGCCATTCCTGATCTGGCTGGCACCAGGTGTGATGGGTCCCTTGTGGAGAGGACAGCAGCGCCATCATCAAGGGAGGAGCCCCTGGGATGCTGTGAGGGCGCGTGCGTGCGTGTGTGTGTGGGGGGTCTGCCACGTAGAGCAAAGCACCTGTCACCTGGCCCAGGAGGTGGGAGAATGGAGGGCAGCCGGCGAGAAATGCTGGGCTCACCTGGTGCAATGCGGTCAGTCCATCCTCGTTGCTCAGGTCGGGGCTGATGCCGTTCGCAAGGCAACGGTGAACTGTAAAAAGAAAAATATCTCTCTCAGGCCAGGAGCTTTGGGGGAGGGGGGGATTTTGACCGCAAAGATGCCAAAATACAACCAGCCTGTTAGGGTTCAATCTAGACAGGGCAATTACTCAGCAGATCCCTACGTGTAGTGCACAAGAGGATGAACAATTTGGGCCCACAGCTAGGAGGCTAGGACACTAGAGATAGAATCAAGATCACGTGAAGTGTTAATACCGCTTTATAAGGCCTTGGTATGGCCATACTTGGAATCCTGCTTCCAGTTTTGGTCGCCACGATGTAAAAAAGACGTGGAGACTCTAGAAAGAGTGCAGAGAAGAGCAACCAAGAGGATTGGGGGACTGGAGGCTAAAACCTAGGAAGAACGGTTGCAGGAATTGGGTAGGTCTAGTTTAATGAAAAGAAGGATTGAGGGGGGACATGATAGCTGTGCTCCAATATCTCCGGGGTTGCCCCAAAGAAGAGGGGGGGCCACCTATTCTCCAAAGCACCAAAGAAGGCAGGACAAGAAGCAATGGTTGGAAACTAATCCAGGAGAGAAGCAATCTGGAATTAAGGAGAAACTTCCTAACAGTGAGGACAATTAACCAGTGGAACAATTTGCCACCAGAAGTGCTCCATCGCTGAAGGTTTCCAAGAAGAGACTGGACAGCAGCTTGTGTGAAATGGTATATGGTTTCTTGCCAGAGCAGGGGACTGGACTAGACTAGAAGATCTCCAAGGTCCCTTCTCACTTTGTTATTTTGTTAAACCCCAAGAGTGTCTCAAACCAAACTTTCACCTAGACCTGGGGGGGGTAGGGGGGAGGCAAGCATGGCCCTTTTAAGGCTAGTCATAATGGGGCCCTACCTGCCCACCCCTGACCTTGACTCAGAGACCTCCTGAAGGCTGCCTTCACTGCAAGGAGCCACCATCAGAGGCCGATGCAGGCTTGGCTGAAACTTCCTGGAGCTCCGGGTTGGGTGGAGTCAGCTGGGACTCGCAGATGAAATGCCAACATTGACAGGGAAGGGAGCCAAGAGCTTAGCCTGCATTCAACTGAGACACGGAACAAACAGGCAAAGGCCTCATCTCAAAGGTACCACAGCCTGTTGTACCCTCAACAAACGAAGACATTTTGCCAAGGAAGGAGCAGCCCAGGGTGTGGAGGAGCAGCAGCAGCAGGGAGCCTGCAGTTCACAAAAACCTGCAATTTTGACCCCTGAGGCACCTTTGCGGCTCCCGCAACGGGCAGCAGGTGCCCTGAAATCCTGCAAGGGAAGGTGAGGAGACTGCCAGGTTCTGCCTGTGGAGACAGGGGCCGGCATTCCGTAATCCCGAGTCACTCTTCCAAATACAGGTAGCCCTTGATTCATGACCACAGTTGAGCCAAACATTTCTGTTGCTAAGTGAGAAAGCTAAGTGAGTTGCTAAGTGAGACATTTGTTAAGTGAGTTTTGGCTCATTTTCCAACTTTTCTTGCCAATGTTGCTAAGTGAATCACTGCAGTTGTTAAGTGAGTCACCCGGTTGTCAAGCGAACCTGGCTTCTCCAGTGACTTTCCTTGTTAGAAGCTCACCAAAGGGGATCACAGGACATACTGGGACAAAGCAACGGTCGTAAATACGAGTCAGTTGCCAAGCATCTGAATTTGGGGATGGCCTTAAGTGTGAAAAACGGTCCTAATCCCTTTTTTCAGGGCCCTCGTGACTTTGAATGTTCACTAAGTGAACCGTTGTAAGCCTGGGACCGCCCCTCGGTGTCATTCTTTTTTTTCATTTTCATTTTTCCCCCCTTTTGCTTTACAGTAAAAGACCTCCGAGGTTCCCTTCTGCCCTTGTGAGTCTCTGTTCTTCCTTTTCAAGATTATACAGATATATATTTTTAAAAAAAGGTCCTTCCCAAGAAGCCACAGGACACGCCCCCTTTCCTGACCCAGAACAAGGAAGCCCATGGTCTTTGTAGACATAACACTCTGCAAGGGAACAATCCGACACCCCAGCTGATGGATTGACTCCTAACGGCCTTCAAAGGTAGCTATCTATGGTGGTTTATTGTGCTTGCGGGTGTCACCTTATACAGAAGGACAAAAGGGAGTGCTAGGGAAAAAAATGAGGTGTACGATGATCAAAGGCCTGGAGACTAAAACACATGAAAAACAGCTGCAGAATTTGGGTTTGGCCAGTCTGGAGAAAAGAGGAATTAGGGGGGACATGATAGTAATATTCCAGATTTGAGGGGCTGCCACAAAGAGGAGGGGGTCAAATCCAAAGCACCAGAAGGCAGGACAAGAAGCAACGGGTGGAAACTCATCAACCTGGACTTAAGGAGAAACTTCCTAACAGAACAATTAATCTTGCCTCCAGAAGTTGTGGGTCCTCCAACACAGAAGGTTTTCAAGAAGAGACTGGACTGCCCCTTGTCTGAAATGATATAGGGCTTCCTGCGTGAGCAAGGGGTTGGACTAGAAGACCTCTGAGGTCCCTCCCAACTCTGTGATTCTGTAAGGGAAGCTCAAGCGTCCCTTCCCCTGAACCCCAGGAATTTGGAATGCGCCGGAAGAATTTGCCGCCTCTGCTGTGCTCCAGACCAACAGGAACAGCCCTTTCTGCCCCAAATTCTTCCCCACATCCCAGCTTTCAAAAGGGTGTAACTGCCCACCCTTCAACCTGCAGGTCCCAGAATTGAAGCAGCGTTTCTGGAGCTACCTGGGGGACCTGGGGAAAAAATCCTGAAGGGAGGCCTCAGTGGCCCCACTTGCTGTGGCTAAAGATCTCCTTAGACCAGGGGTCTCCAAATGTGGCCCCTTTAAGACTCGGGGACTTCAACTCCCAGAAAAGACTTCCTCCTGTCCTGAAATCAAAGAGGCAGGAAAATTGGGGAGGACCCCAAATTCTCCAAGAAGGACTGTGGGATGGTCTTGCATCCTCCCTATCAGAGCTGACAGCAGTCAATGACAACTTGCTGTGGGGCAAGAGTTACACTGATATCGAAGAAATGGTAGGACAGAATCAGAGAAAGAAAGGATGCCGAAGGAGGGGCAGCATGAAAGTTGCATGCCAAAAATAAAAAAATAAAAATATTTTTTCTTTCAAATAATTACATTGAATTGTTCAATTGTCCCACGGCGAGTTGTTCCATTTGGAGCCGACAAGTAGGGGGCCGGGCTGCAGAAGCAGAGAAGCCAGCTCTGGAAGGAGGGAGCCGAAGCTGGCCTCAGCCCACCCACCATAATCATCTCGCAGTTCTTACCAGGACAGATGGGATATGTTGGTCTAAAGGGGAGGGAGGGAGGAAGGAAAGATGGGAGGGAGAGAGAGAGGGACTGAGGTAGAGGAAGGAAAAGAAAGAGGGAGGAAGGGAGGAAGGAGGGAAGGAAGCAAAGATGGGAGGAAGGAAAGGAGGGAAGGGCAGGAGGGAGAAGGAAAGGAGGAAGGGAGGAAGGAGGGGAGGAAGGAAAGAAAGATGGGAGGAAGGAAAGGAGGGAAGGGTGGGAGGGAGGGAGAAGAAGGAAAGTAGTGAGGGAGGGAAGGAGGAAGGAAGGAAAGATGGAAGGAAGGAAAGGAGGGGAGGGAGAAGGAAAGGAGGGAGGAAGGGAGGAAGGAGGGAAGGAAGGAAGGAAAGATGGAAGGAAGGAAAGGAGGGGAGGGAGGGAGGGAGAAGGAAAGGAGGGAGGAAGGAGGGAAGGAAGGAAGGAAAGATGGGAGGGAGAGAGAGAGGACTGAGGTAGAGGAAGGAAAAGAAAGGGAGGAAGGGAGGAAGGAGGGAAGGAAGCAAAGATGGAAGGAAGGAAAGGAGGGAAGGCAGGAGGGAGAAGAAGGAAAGGAGGAAGGGAGGAAGGAGGGAAGGAAGGAGGGAAGGAAGGAAAGAAAGATGGGAGGAAGGAAAGGAGGGAAGGGCGGGAGGGAGGGAGAAGAAGGAAAGTAGTGAGGGAGGGAAGGAGGAAGGAAGGAAAGAAAGATGGAAGGAAGGAAAGGAGGGAAGGAAGGAAGGAAAGATGGGAGGAAGGAAAGGCCTATTTTTAGACACACACCCTTTTTCGTCCAAGCCTCACATTATGCACTAATTAACCTGGCAAAAGGCAAGGAAGGGATTGTGGGAGGCAGCTAGGAAGCCCCCTTTGCAGATGGGGGGTGGGGGCAGCACCGTCGAGACACCTGGGGCTGGTGGAGCAAGCTCCGAAGAGCAAGTTGAACTCCCAGGAAAAGAAGAATAGAATGACAGAGCTGGAAGGAACTTGGAGGTCTTCTAGTCCAACCCTGTACCGTGTCAGACCAAGGGTTGTCCATTATGGTGACGTCTTGAATAGCAAGCTGAGTTCCGACTCCAAAGGCAGGACATGATGGCTGGATTCGCATAACACACTGAACCCAGGCTAACAAGAAAGACCTAGCTGCCATGTTCGCAGGACAACCAAACCCTGTTATGATGTTTTATTTATGCCAGTTGTCCAGTGATAAAGGTAAAGGTAAAGGTTACCCTCGCACATATGTGCTAGCTGTTCCTGACTCTAGGGGGCAGTGCTCATCTCCCTTTTAAAGCCGAAGAGCCAGCGCTGTCCGAAGAAGACGTCTCTGTGGTCATGTGGCCGGCATGACTCAACGCCAAAGGCGCACCGAACGCCGTTCCCTTCCCACCAAAGGTGGTCCCTATTTTTTCTACTTGCATTGTTTACCTGCTTTCGAACTGCTAGGTTGGCAGAAGCTGGGACAAGTCACGGGAGCTCACCCCATTACAGGCACTAGGGATTCGAACCGCTGAACTGCCGACCTTTCGATCGACAAGCTCAGCGTTTTAGCCACTGAGCCACCACATCCTGTGATATATGATGGCAATTCCATTCCTTTCCTTTGCCCCCTGTCCCTTCTTCCTATCTTACCTCCCTCTTTCTTTTTCTTCTCCCTTCCTCTTTCCCTTTCCTTTCCTTCCTCTCTTTTCCTTCCATCCATCTTTTCTACCTCCCTCCCTCCTATCCTTCTTCTCCGTCCCTCTCCTTCCCTCTTCTTCCATCCA